AAGGCATAAAAAGAAGAGAAACAAAGAAATTGTTAAACCGCAGACAGCCAATTAAGAGAATTTCCGCAAACTATGATGAATTCTTAGAAAATTTTATTGACCATAATCATGCGCTTGTAGATTAATTGCTCGCATTTTCTGTTATTATTCTAGAACACTCCATTTACTTTGTTCCGGAATTGAGATGTGTAATTTTGTTTTGGTTAATTTGAAACAAAATTTGCTTCCAATAAAAGTATCTTCCTTCTATCTTCTGTTTTAAATTCCAGTTATCGCGTAACATACAAACGAAAAAAAACATTGTTCTTGAAAAACCTCCTCCTTTTTTGTTGTCGGTTAATAAACACGTGTTTATTCTTACATATAGACCTAAGTCTTTTCAGGGACGTCCTCAATGTGATACGGTCGATCTTTACCCACGTTTCCCGCCAAGTACTCCTTATAAATGTTTGTTTTCATATATTATTAATTTCTTTACCATAACATAAAACATTATATATACATACATGGGTACAAATGACATTCAAGCTATATTCTTGTGAAAACTAGATTTACTATTGCCATAAAAGGCGATGTGTGTCAAATTACACTGGAAATTAATAAGTAACACTGTGATCTTGTTCTTATGATGCTTTTTCGCTCTTACAAAAATGGACATAACTTTTTTTCTTACCCGCCGCGCGGCGTAATGCGATTCCATATTTATTTATTTATTTTATTTGTGAAATTACTACAACCTGTGCACAAACTAATACCGCCTACACTATATAATAAATAAACTAGATGATGTAATAATAATAATACACATTGGATGTAAGTACGTATACATATTACACATAAATAAATACATACATACATATATACGCATACTAAGTATAACAAAAATGTTCTCCTTATAATATTAATATAATTATGATAAAATTTAACATTTAGCTTCGAATTGCGTTTAGTGATTATTAGTTAAAATCTTGGAATGGAATGAATGTCAGAAACTCAGAAAAAATATTAAAAAACTCGATAGAATGGTGCCTTATAAAGCTGAGAACATGAATTTTATCATTTGGAATATTTTAAGATTGATGACGAATTGATTGAAATTGCAAGTAAAAAAAATAGAAGATTCTAAGTGTTTTAGTAAACCTCTTTCTGATGTGATAAAAGCTGCTAAAGTCACAACTTCCCAAGAAAACTCTAATTTCAATATGGACCCAAGTGGATTCATAGAAGTGAAGCCCAAGTATGTGAACACTGCATTACCAGGTGATGCAAATAATTATGATTTGTTAGATGGTGATAAACCGACTGTGCTTAAGGTTTAATATAGAGGAAGTATTTGAGGAAGACGATGTTATAATTAGCTTTACACAAGAAGAAGAGGACGAGATAAATAAAGAAAAAAAAACGAGATCAGTTTTCCACAAACGAATCTATTTTCATTAAATTATTATTATACTACTTCTTGTCTAATCTAATCTAGCACCACATTCTTGCCATAATTTGTGGAATGAAACAGTATACACGGTACAGACAAGTGTGGCGAGTTTGCAATCCGGCCCTAAAGATCATCACACTCAAGTCGACTGTTAAAAACCTTATTACAGTTTATACAAAGTGAAAAAAATCAAGTTAAGAAGTCTACCTACAATGTAATAAAAAAAAGAGCAAGAAATCTTCTAATAGAGACCGTATATCAAGTCTTAATGATACGTCTCGACAACTCTGCAAGTAATTTGCTACAGTTGAAAAGCGTTTTGCCGACCACTTTGATATGAATCTGCAGCAATTTCTTGTATGCTGATAAAAATCTCGGAACACTTACATTTTTGATACTATTAGCGACATCTTCCATCGGATAGCCGAACTACTTTTATTATGTTGAGTCTCGCCATCTCTTATCGAATAGCGAAACTACTTTATCAACCAGAATGCTTACTAATATTAAAAACGTTTCCTAGATGTCACTTTAATTAATTAAAAATCGAGACATCTATGGAGAAAAAAAATACTAGCAATATTGTGTTAGGGTGTAAGTTTAGTACGAAAAATAATCAATAGATGGCACTGATATTTCTCTATTATTGCGTACATTTGTTTCATTTTATAGAAGGCTTAAACTCCGCAAATAGTTGTGTATTGACTTGTTATTATAATATAAATAATACATATGGAATTGAAGCCATAAATTACCTTTATTGTAACGATCAAGTCGCCATTAACAGGAAAAGCTGTTAATGATTTCTACCTACATGCCATACGTTGGAAATTAATGATCATAATGATAATGCTCTTTACAAGTTTCAAGGTCACGGCTGACCTTGGGACCAATAAAAGGGTCACAAATGTTACTTTCTTTGTAAAAAACATGGAAAAACTCAATCTAAATTTAGATAAAAACAAAATTTCTAATTTCCAATTTCGCGTCCCAGAATTTGATTCATCACATTACATTTAACTATCCCTTGATAAGTGCCACAATTCATTTTTAGTGACATAATTTGAAAAAGTCTTGCCTATCATATTATATTAACGTTTTTATATATTTAAAATAATAACTGCGCATTCGACAGCCATTTTACCTGATGGAAAATGCCGATGAAGTGGACGATGCATGCACATCTAAATAATGCCTATTCACTCTCGTCTTAACCCAAGATATAGCATTCAGGGAACAAGTCTGCAGTCTGCTTCATGGCTTAACTTTGGAATATCCACAAGACATGGGTGGAACCCTAGCCCGTCTAATCCCCCGATGATAGAAAGTGGGAGGCGGAATTAAACTACGTGATTTTTTTTCAATTATCAAAAAGTATTTATCAAACTCAGTAAATATATAGATATTAACTGCTCTTGATATAGCTATAGATATTAACTGCTCTTGTACCTTACATTTAATCTTTGACATGACGTGCGTTATCGTAAATAAATAAGTAAAATATCAATGATAATAGTTACGTGTGTAACATTTCTCGCCTGTACCCGCAGTTGATATAATCGCAAACAAACTACATGTCGTGTTATTTTTATCAACACAGCCAAAGAGTATTAAAAATAGACAGACAGTCCTTGCATTTCATTGCGGCTTGATTTTTACTGATACCGCATAACAATTAATAGTAAAATTGAGGATATGCACTGATTACTATAAGGTGTGAAAACATAACTCCTAAAAACTTTCACGATAGAAAAAAATCACAAACTTAACTCGACTTTAACAAGAAAACCTCTGTATTCAATAGGTACTTTATATATACCAATATTTTTTTTATGTCAACTGAATTAAATAGATCACGTATAGTATACGATACGCATTTTTCAAATAACCTTAATTTCGTTTGTAAAATAATTAATTGTAAAATAAAGCAGAGTTGGACGGTCAGTTCAATACCGTCCCGCACTAAAAAGTTTGGCAATTCGTTCTTATGCCGAACCATCAAATTGTGGAACCAACTTCCGGCGCATGTATTCCCTCCCCTCTATAACATCGGGTCCTTCAAACGTAGTGTGAAGAAGCATTTGGCCAGACCGGCAAAATGATAGTGACGGAGTGAAGATATTTGTGTTTTCCATCCGTTACTCTCATCTCTGGACTGTATTCGCACTTTCCATCAGGCGCGGTGCAGTCATTTTGCCGAGTCACATTAAAAAAAAAAAGTTAATAAACCGTATTGGTGCGGGAAAAATTTATAAAATAATTTATTCGAGCTGAGGCAGTATCTACTCTTAAAGCAGCGCAATCGTGACAGTTAGTACAGATGGTAAGCTTGACACTAAAGGCGTAAATCCAACTCTCTGCCTCTTACAATAACAGCGGTCCAAAGTCAAAGTGTCAAGCTGGACGTGCTATTTACTGTACATACCAGCTGCAATAACAGTAAGCATTCATGTAAAGATGGTATATAAATAATAAGACTAGCTAGCTAAAGAATGCAAGTGTCAGGACCAACAAGTCGTGCGCCGGGTGTTAAGTGACACGCCTGTCCATAGCAGTTGCACTTGAGGCAAAAGTTGACAAGTCCCATGTGCCTGTAACTTCACCAGCACCATTAAAGAACCGGAACACAGTAATGGTGACATTACTGCTTGGCGGCAGAAATATGTAAGATGGCACGTACTTCCCTGGACGAACTCTTTAAAAAAATAAATAAGATCCGGACTAAGAACCTTCAGCTCTTCCTTTTGTCCGGTGGCAAAGACTAGGGGATCACCAGCCAACTGTTACAGAAGTTTAAAAAAACTTTCAAAGAATATTCTGGTTGATACTTCCGCCAAGAAACTTTCGTGATCCAAAACGGAAAATATTTCTCTTAATTAAATTTTTCACCTTTACTTAAACATTATTTTCTATATGTCTATATCTATATTATAGATAATAGAGCCAGATTAAACAGAGAAAATAGATCATCGCCACAGGTTGCCTAAAAGTCTATCAGAACAAAAATTAGGTACTCATATAGATATCTATATATGCTTTTGTATGAAATTCATGTTAGACCTGGCCGACTCCGTGCCATGGTCGAGGTCGAGCCTAGGTCGGGACACGGCGGCTTCGAGTATGTTTTCCCGGTTCCAACCAGGCCCGATCGCGACACGCCGTCATATGAATGCATTCGCCGGGCACGCAAATTACACACCATATTCTTTTTCAAGTTTCAATTTGTGTTTCCAATACTTCGTCATCAAGAGCTATTGCAACAGCTGCCAACTCAAGTTGAGAAAACATTAATAACACAACCTTATCACTCAAGATAAAAATGGAAAATAACAAAAAAACCCGGTCGGCCAAAAAAAACGTTGACGTCACGGTCAAACTGTGTACCTTCTACATTTTTATAGAACTATGTTTATCTTAAGAAACTTTTGAAATTCTAAAATAAAAAATAAACTGCCAATCGCTCCCATCCGCTGTTCTTTTTTTTCAGAATATGTTTTCAATTGAACTGACTCATTTGTAGGCATAATTTAATCCATGAACATTTGTTATTCTGTTACGTTATGTCATGGCCGACTATAGATGCCGCATTTGACAGCCGGCTTTCAAGTGTTGTACTTGTCTACTAGTCACATTATTAATACTCAGTCGTTTATTAGTCCAGCACACCATGGCTAAGGTAAGGTTTTTGATATTAATGATTTCTTATTTGACTCAACATTATGTAGGTCATTGTTATTAGTCTGCAAGCGACAGTTATTGATTTTGTAGATGATACTTGTTGGTTTGTGCTTTAGATGTTATGTTGTCTTTGGAAAATTTTTTTGTTGTAATTTAATGTAAGTGTCGTCGTGTCGGAGGTACTTAAAATGTACATTTATATAAAATAAAATGTTTAACGAGGCTATAAATTAAAACTCGTAAATGTTTTCTTTTTAGTTTTTATATTTTTTATTTATCTATGTGTCTTATTGTGTAAACTTATCTTGATTTAGATGTTTCATATTTTTAAAATTAGTCGCAATGTTCATAAGTATTGTAAAAAAGTAAAGAAAAAATCCCCGCCGTGTGGTGCCGGCCTAGAATAGCACCACCCCCCTTCTCATCCTGTGGGTGTCGTAAAAGGCGGCTAAAGGAAAATTGTCTGAAGAAGACGGGCAGCAGCGTCTTCTACCCATCTTGGTCAGAACTGCGATCGCCAACCCGCCTGCCAAGCGTGGCGATTATGGCACAACCCCCCTAGTCACGGTAGCGGCTATGGAAACAGGGCATGGGGTGCGAAGAATCCCCGGGGGAGACCCGGCTACCATCAACGACGACGACTGGACCTGGCAACCTACAACACGCGCACATTGAGGACCGACGCAAAGCTCACAGAATTGGAAGAAGCTATTAATAAGTTACGCTGGGATATCATTGGGCTATCTGAAGTCCGAAGAGAGGGGGAGGACTCGACAATCCTTAATTCCGGCAACTTACTGTACTACCGGGAAGGCGACCAACAGTCCCTTGGCGGTGTCGGGTTTATTGTCCACCGTGTCGGGTTTACAGTCGTTTGTTAACAACCTGATTACCATCGGAAGTGTGTCGACCAGGGTATTATACCTGATACTCTATATATACTATATATATACTATTCCAATAAGTTGAAAGTTATCGAAATGCACATGCGTTAGTAATGACAAGGGGGAAGATAT